GCGCGACGTTGGGGCGAGGTGCGCCACGCGTGCCTGGTGCGCCGGATGCGCCACGTGCTCCACATGCGCCAAGAATGCCGCATGCTCCAGCCGCGCCAAGTGCGCCACGTTCGGGGCACGCGCAGAGTGTGTCAGGTGCGCCCGCGAAGACCAGGAAGCACGTCGGCCATACAATCCTTGTCGAAAACCATGCACAGTCGCGGCGGAGTGGCCATCATGATGTTTTGGTGGGCCTGCGCTCAACAGGCAATACGCCAGTACTCCGCCGTCCTTGTCAAAAACACGTGCAATGTGACCGCGGGCTGCCCGCGCATGATCCAGATGCAGCCGCGAAGTGCAGATTGTTGACAGGGAGCGTGGCCCTGCACACAGCAGGCAATAGGCTGGCCCACCTGGCGTCCCTTGCAAAAAACAAAATTCTCGCGGGGCCCTGATCATCACCCAAGATAACGCCGCGAGTGCATTCTACATTGTTTGCTGACAGGGATGATGGGGGGGCCTGGGTCCTGGTTGGTCGCTGGTCCAGTGGGGGAGGGGGTGTTTGCAAACAAGGGACAGTGGTAAGACCCTCCCCGAGGAGGAAGACGGGGGTTGGAAGAGGATCTGCACTAAACCACTCACGCCCTATAGGGCTGGTGGGATTGTGCTCGTGGGAGGGCCCGAAGATCCGCAATTAGTGTGCTGAGCGCCGCGGGGCACGAACGATGGTAGCTACTTTCAGGAACACCCCACGAGCAGGGGCATCACATCCGGCTCAGAGCTCCAGCACCGCTCGTTCGCACACTGCTTGGCGTCATCCGGGGCTCCGCACCGCACAGAGCGCCGGACGTTGATGCTGGCAGACCGCAGCCGCCTCCGAAGGTCCTTCCCGGGAAGCGGGCCGAAGGTTCGGCCGATTCGGGTCGAATCGACACGCGGCGGTCCGCGCTGCGGTGGGAGCGTGCCGATTTCGGCCCGACGCGTGGCCCCAGCAGGGCCCCCGCCCCTCGTGCTCCCCGCTCTCGCCCCCGCGAGCGGCGCCGGCGCCGAGATCCGTCTGCCCGCGCGCACGTGCCCGGGAGGAGGCTCACCGGGGCGAGGAGGCGGAAGAGGGCAGAGGCGGACCTGCGGCACCACGGGCTTCTTGTGGGCAGGGTGCCCGCCATGAGTGATTGCCTCGGAGTGGAGTGCGGCGAGACCCGTCATCGGCGCTCGACGCCCGAGCTGGGGGGGGCCCTGCATCGTTCAGCATTGCGATGGCGTCCTTTCAGGCGCTTGCATTCACAGGATGCGTCCTGAGGCAGTGAGCTGAATGGATCAGGAGTGCTTGGCTGCACGCGCTGTGTGTGTGTGTCCACATCGCATGCACATAAAGATCACGACAAGTAGGCACGTTCCGATCGCAGCCATCTCCGTGCAGCCTGCGTTTTCTTCGGCTTCCACCTCGGAAGCCATGACCAGGCAGACAACCCAGAACACCTAACAAAAGACAGCTCACCACCAAGAACCCCTCAGTGCAAGCAGCACTCTTCGCGGAGATTCGCCCAAATTCTGGGGAGGACCCGAAGCCGACGGGGCCTCCGCAGTTTGCGAAGGCCAGTTTCCCAGACACCCGATGCCTTAATTTTTCACTACGGGGTCCCCAGAAGTCCCACCCGATCCCCATGGCCCGCTTTTCGTCCCGAGTCGTTTTTGTTGACGGTCCCGCGGCCGGGCGAGACCCCCCCCAGAGGCCGAGACCGACGAAAATCTCCAGTCGCGATTTCTTCACGACGCGAGCACGTCTGGGAAGCCGCGGGGGCCTCCACAGCCTGCGGAGGCGGGCTTCCCCCTGGGGCTCCTCGTGGCACGCGCGTTGGCTCCACGCGTGCCGCAGAGGCGACGTGGCCGTGGACGACGCGGGGCCCGGCGCCGAGAAGCCGAGATCCCGCGGTGCCGACCTTCGCCGCGGGCACGGCGGCGGCCCTGGCGCCGACGTTGGCGGGCGCGGGTCGGGGCGCTCGTCCCCCCCGGGCGTCCGGTGCAGTGGGGAGCTCAGGTCCGCGGCGTCTCCTCGTGCTCGGCCCCTGGGGGCCCTCGCCCCGCCCCGCGACCGTCGATAATCAGGAGGAAAAGAAACACACAGACACAATGAATCGTCGATTCCCCAGAAAATGTGAGAAAATATGGGAAGTGGGGGGGAAGACAAGAAACCCAAAAAATGTAGGAAATGTGGGGAATCTTTTTATTTGTGTGCATTTATTTGTGTGTCCTGGGGCCCCTTTAGATAAACGACTCAGAGATGAAAAACCAGCCCTGGAGAAGGGGTCGGGACTTCCGGGGACCGTCGCACGTTTGGGGTCACTTGAGCGTTGCAATGTTTGAACGCCGGGGCCCTCACAGATCGATCCAGCTCGAGAAACGCTGCAGAAAGAGGAGGGCTGGGGGCTCCGGCCGCGATTTTTCACAGCGTTGCACTTTTTTGTTAGCAGGCGGCTCTCAGAGGTCACCAGGGGTCAGCGCCAACGAGCATGGCGGCGGCCCAGGCGCTGGCGTTGGCGGGAGCGCGTCGGGGCGCACGGCCACCTGAAGGCAGCGCCAACCCAGAAATCCAGCGTATTGGAAATCCAGCCCTCGACGGGCCCCGGGACCGTCGAAAAACCACTCGGGATGAGAAGTTGGCTTTGGGAAAGGGGTCACAACTTCTGGGGGCCGCGTATTGAAAAACATCCAGATGCGCATGTCAGCGCCGACGGGCATGGCGGGCTGCTCAAGCGCCGGCGTTGGCGGGAGTAGGCAGGGGCGCGCGTCACCAGGACCAGGACTCTTTTCTCCCCCATGCCAGGCCGAGGATCGAGGACAGAGGTTTTCGAGCACAGTTCGCCTTTTGTTCAGCTTCTGGAGCCCTCGGGAGGCCTCCGCCCTCCGCTGACCTGGGTACGGGAGCTGCTTCGTGGCCTGCCGCGTTCGGGACATAGCCCTGTTGGCGCTGACCTGGGTCAGCGCACCCCTCAGCGCACCCCCGGGATGGGGCTGTCGCGCTGAAAGTTCTGGCTCCTCGGACCGCTCCGCTGGGCCATCCCAGCCCTGATCCCCTACGGACAGCTCGCGCTGGCCTTCGAAAGCGCCATTCCGGGCATCATTCGAGTGTGATCAGAATGGGCTTGCGTCTTTCGGAGAGCTGTCTCGAACCTTGGGAGCCCAGGAGACAGATCTGGCTACGTCATCCTTCCTTTCCCTGACCAGATGTGGCCCCAGCTTTTCTGGGGTGGCCCAGATGGCCGTCAGAGCACCCCTCACGAGGCCCAGAGAGCCCTAGGGAGGTCTAAAATGGCGCGAGAATGGTGGGCACCCTGGACCAGGATCACCTCTGGCAACCTCCGACCTCTCCGATCCTTCCGCTGGGAGGCCTCTTGGCTCCTTCGAGGGCTCGTTGGCGAACCCCTGGGGGCCAGAGCGATACAGCCCCGCCCAAAGTGCTCTTCCGACCGAATTTACCCCCGAACGGCACGAAGCCCCAGCTGCGGCCGAAGAGGCACATGGGGGCCCGCCGCCGGAGATCAAAGGGGGCAGGAAGAGGAGCGAAGGTCAGAGGAGGAGAAGGAAGACGACGACGACGACGAGGATCGAGGTTCGAGGACCTGGGCTTCTGGACGCTTTGGGCCATGTTTCGGGCCCCCCGGGACCTCCAGGGACCTCTGGAGACTTCCACAGGCTATGGAAGAGAAGGAGGAGGAGGAGGAGGAGGAGGAGGAGGAGGAAGAGGAGGAGGAGGAGGAGGAGGAGGGGAGAGGTAAAAGAGGAGGGAGCGTCTGAGAGAAGAACGAGTACGTAATTTGGGCTCGGGCCCCAGCCGTGCGGAGAGCGGGCTGGCCCATCAAAATGGTCGGTGACCGACGTGTTTGCTCGCGTATGCTGGGCGGATCCACTGATCCGGGCGAACGTTCACATCAGGTATTGCTTCTTCAGTTATACCAGGGCACAGTGCAAATAGATTGTGAAGTTTGTCAGCCCGTCGGCAGTGAGTGAGAGGACAACGGTAAAGAAGTCTTCAATGACGGCGATGGTAGTGCGAAGCGGCGGAAGTAGCATCACAGCACATTGCGTTGGCATGATGAGGGAGAAGAACCATCAGAAGAGGACGATCACCACAAGGAGAGGGTTCAGAAGAAGAGGGGAGGGATGGAACAGGCCGAGGGGAGGCGTCTCCATCTGGAACGACTTTCGATGGCCCTGCTCGGACAGACAGGACAGCTCCACAGGGGAAGATTCCAGACATGGAGGGCAGCTTCTCATCGGATTTTCTTTTCATTGCCAGACAGTGGGTGGTGGGCAGCCCGAGACGGAAGTGAGCACGAGAAAGGGTTGTCTATTGTTGTTGCAGGCTTGGCAGGCAGCTCACACAGGAAGGACAGCACGAGGAGAGATCGGCTTCCAGGGAGGTGGGGTCGGTCGCATGTTTTCCCGCCGCGCCTAAAATCATAGAATGTGCAGCGTGCCATCGGGTGTTAGCATGAATTCCGCTGACTCCTGATTTGTTTCCACGTCTTTTCGCCCTCAAGAGAGGTACCTGCGCAGCAGGGCCGAAACCCAAGGACTGCGACAAGCGCGGGAGAGACTGTCGGTTTGTGCCTATGCCGTTTTCTCCGCCTTTTCTGGGAACAGCGGGGCGCAGCGACGGCCTGGCGACGAGCAGGGAGCAAAAGGGTTCTCCATGACGTCCTCGGTCCTCCCTCCTCAAGAGCCGAGGAGGGGAGACCGAGGCTTCTGAACGGCTCCTGCCTTGTTCGGCCCTCTGAAGGCCTCCAGAGCCCTCCAGGGACCTCTGGAGACACGTGCGGGTACAAGCAGGCACAGGCGCGCGCTCGCACGCGGGCACGGTGGAGTGCACGCGGGCGGGCGCGTAACCGCATGTGCGCGCGAAGGCGCGCGCATATTCGAAGGCGTCCGCGCAGCGTCGCCCAAAAAAACAGTTGCACGGCATGTGCGCTTAGTATTCCGCCCACCCACCATACACATAGCACGGCAGCCAGAGCTAAGCGGCAAGTCAAAGCAGTCAGAAAAGGTCAACCAGATCTTTATACCGCAATGCCGTTCGCGGCGCCGAGTTCCATGCGGATGTGAAGAGTAGCGATGTAGACACGAGCAGACACAAGAGTTGTTCTTTGAGATGGGGAATGGGACGAACAGTCATAATCCATGACATGTGTGCATATGCGTGTACCTCTCTCTCTCTCTCTTTTTTTCTCTCTCTCTCTCTCTCTTTCTCTTTCTCTTCCTTCATTCGTCCACTCGCCAACTCGCAGGAGAGACAGCCGTGTTCTTGCGGAAACACGTCTTTCGCGCTTGGCGCACGTTTCTGTGACGGGTTGTGGGACAGCGCAGCAGAAGAAGGAGGCCGAAGAAATAGAGGATGATAGACGGAAATCAGGGGCGGCAGGCAGTACATGGAGAGGGAGCGAGAAGAGAAAGATCGGGGGGGAATAATAAAAGGGGGAGAGAGAGAGATAGAGAACAAAAAGAGCGAGAGAGAGAGAGAGAAAAGCGATGACAGAGGGAACGAGAGATAGAAAACAGGAGTGGCAAGTACAGATCTAGATGTGTATACATATACATATATATATATATGTGTATACATATATGCACATACAGATCACAGTCGAGGACGCCTACGGCGAGTCACCGACCCCCCATGCCTTTTGGAAACGCCCAAGCGGCTAAACGTTGGGCCGAAGTCTGGCCGAGCTATTGAACTATGTGTTCTCCCGCCGTTGTTGAACCCCTTGAGGGAACACTGGGGAGAGCAAGAGAAAGGAGGATGAGAGGGAGGACGAGGAGGAGGAGGAGGAGGAGAAGGAAGAAGAAGCAGAAGAAGAGGCTTATTGAAGCTGTCTTGGAGGCCTCCTGGGGGATTCCCGGGAGATTCTTCGGGGCCTCTGAGGGGCCTCTTGGGGGCCTCTTCGTGCTTTTGGGGGGTCTCTTGGGGCCGTCTAGCGGCCGTCTTGGCGCCCTCCTGGGCCGTCTTGGAGCCCTCTTGGGCCGTCTTGGAGCATGGAAACCCGAAAAGGCGAGGACGCTAAAATCAGCCAACCAGTAAAGGAAAGTCAATGATTTGGGCCTGCTGGAGGTCCTCTTGGAGCCCTCCTGGGGCGTCTTAGGGGCCTCCTGGGCCGTCTGGAGGACGTCTTGGGCCGTCTTGGGGCCCTCTTGGCCCCATCGTGAATGCGTCTTGGGACAGTCTTGGAGGCCATCTTGGCCGTATCGGAGGCATCTTGGAAGCCATCGAGGGCAATCTTGGCCGTCTCGGAGGCGATCTGGGCAACGAGGGACGTCCTCTTGCACGCGGGTTCTCGGGTGGCCGGCGCGATCCGCCGAGACCCCCCTGGTGACCAAAACCGTTCCGCCGTTCGGCACGGCGCCGTCGCAAGCCAACAGGGGGGCGGCGGATCGAAGACGCTTGCTGCGAATCACCGCCACCCTTTGCCTTTTGGAAACGCCTCTGTCGCCGAAGGTTGCGGCCAGAGCTCGGCCAAGCGAACGGACCATGCGTTCCCCCGGCCATTGTGGAAACCAGTCGGGGAACACGTGGGGGAGGAAGAAGAAGAGGAGGAGAGGGAGGAACAAAAAGGGTGATGATGATGATGATGATGGTAATGGTGATGGTGATGGTGATGGTGATGATGATGATGATGATGATGATGATGATGATGATGATGATGATGATGATGATGATGATGATGATGGTGGTGGTGGTGGTGATGTGATGATTGTGATGATAATGATGATGATGAGATGATGATGATGATGATGATGATGATGATGAACTGATGCGATGTTGATGATGATGATGATGATGATGATGGTGATGGTGATGGTGATGGTGATGGTGATGGTGCTGGTGATGGTGATGGTGATGGTGATGGTGATGTGATGTGGATGGGTGATGGTGATGGTGATGGTGATGGTGATGGTGATGGTGATGGTGATGGTGATGGTGATGATGGTGGTGGTGATGGTGGTGGTGATGGTGATGCGAATGATAAAGATGATGATTAGACTGATGTTGATGATGATGGTGATGGTGATGATGATTATGATGATTATGATGATGATGATGATGATGATGATGGTGATGGTGTTGGTGATGGTGATGGTGATGATGATGACGGTGGTAATGATGATGATACTGATGATGATGCTGATACTGATACTGATGATGATGCTGATGATGATGATCATGATGATGGTGATGATGCTGATGATGATGATGATGATGATGATGATGATGATGATGGGAGGAGGAGGAGGAGGAGGAGAAATCTTGGGAGCCTCTTGGGGCACACTGTGGGTCTCTTGAGAGCTTCCTGGGAGCGGGTTGGAGGCCTCGTGAGTTCTTCATTGGTCCTTCTGCGGACCTTTGGATGCTCCTTGGGAGGCTCTTTGGCAGTCTGAGGGCGTTCCTGGCCCGTCTGATATCCTAGGAAACCGTCCTGGGGGCCTCTCTGGGCCGACTTGGAAACACTTTGGGCCATGAGGGGGCCTTCTGGGATGCCTCCTGGGCGCTCTTGGACCATCTTGGTGGCTTCTGGGGCCGTCTTGAGCAGTAGGAAAGCCGAATATCAACAAACGCCACAACCGTTGAACAAACAATGGAAATTCTATTTCCGCGGGACTTTCTGGGCCGACTTGAAGGCTTCTTGGGCGGTTTGGCATTCATGGACACTATAGCGCCCGGTTTTCCAGAGAACCCTCCCGGAGAACCCAGAGAACCCCGGGAGAACCCACGGAGAACCCCCGCGGAGAACCCGGGAGAACCCGGAGAACCCGGAGAACCCGGAGAACCCAGAGAACCTGGAGAACGCCCGGAGAACCCGGAGAATCCCCGGAGAATCCCCGGAGAATCCCCGGAGAACCCCCGGAGAACCAGGAGAGCCCGGAGAACCCCGGAGAACCCCAGAGAACCCCCGGAGAACCCGGAGAACCCCCGGAGAACTGGGGTTCTTGGCCCATATTGGGGGCATCTCGGTCCGTCTTGGAGGCATGTTGGGGCCATTTTGGGTGCTTTTGGGGCCATCGTAGCCGTCCTGGAGACCATCTTAGCCGTCTTGGAGGCCGTACCAGGGCCGTCTGGAGCGGGAAGACCAACGACCTAGCAAGTTGATGTATCCGCACGGCGTGGACAGGAGGGTTTTTGTGGCCCCTCTCGGGGTTTTGTTTTGACTAGTTTGGGCTTGCATTGGGGCCTTCTGGGGCCGCCTTAGACGCGCTTGCGACCGACGCGGCGACAACGCAACAAACACAAGAACTTCATAGGTTCACCCGACTTGTGCCTCTTGGACCACCCCCCAGGGCCTCCAAGACAGCCCGCGAGATTCCCGAAGTTGGACGAGGTAGGTTCTGAGAGGGCTCTTGCGGGCCTAGGTGGCCCAAAGATAGTTCGAGTCACCCCAGGGATGGTGTACGAGGGGTGAACCCCCCTGGTACGGAAGGAGTCAAAGGGAAGGGGTTGATTTAGGACTCGATTCGCATGGATCGATTCACCTTGGGTCGGCGAGCTTGGAGAGCCTCAGACGACCGCTGGGAAGTGGGTACAGCTCCGACTTGGAAAGCGGAGGACTGAGGATCTGGCCCCATCCACTTCCTATCCTTCGACGTTGCCGCATATCGGTATCACGGGGCGTGTAACACGCAGGCCAGGCCTTCATGGCTTTCACAAGAGCATCGCGTGCCCAGCCAGATCATCTTCATTCGTTTTACGATGAACCCGCTGATGTCGCCACTTGATGCAGATGAGCTTGGTGCGTTCCTGGATGTTTCCCGCGAGCACTGTAGCACCAAATGTGCGCTTGAAAATGCTTCACTCTCGTTACAGCCTGAGCAGCAACCAAAAACTCGAGGGGACTCCCGCGTGGACCAGCCGCACTCCCCGAAGATGGCACGACTGTTGGCTGGACGGGGAGGAGTCCTCAGAGAGGGATGGTCCCGAGCATAGCTCTGCCGGGGAAGCGGGGCTGAGATGTCTTGGAATGTCCCGGGTGCCACAGTCCACGTGGCTCCAAGCACTCCCAGAGAGCTCCAGGGATCGTCCGACCACCCCGGTCTCGCCGCATGCGATTGGAGGCGGCTTCCAGAACAGGAGGCGCTGGGCCGCTGTGGCCTGGAAACCGATCCCGCCTTATAGGCTGCAGGATTTCGTAAGCCTTCTTGGTGGGAGACAGAACACCCAATTACGTAACTCTGTTGGGGAAGAGGGTTGTTGGAGGATGAAAAGGAGGAGGAGGAGGAAGAGGTGTTTTTTCGACCACGGGGTTATTGAGTCTGTTTGCGGGGCTGCCCGGGCAGGGGCCGCCAGGTGATAAGTGCGGCGCGCTATTGCCAACAGGAGGGGACGGACGCCGACCCCAGCAGAAGCAGGTTTCTCCATGCTCCTATGTCTCCTCCTCTGTCTTCTCCTCCTCCTCCTCCTCCTCGTCCTCCTCCTCCTCCTCCCTCCATCTCTCCCTCCCTCGCATTCGTGCCTTGGGGGCGGAACCCCTGTCCGTGTCGCCCCCTAGAAGATGCGGAGCCTTTCGTTTGCCAAGCTGCTTGGCAAAAAAAGCTGTGCGGGCCGCAGAGCTGACCACGTCGCCCACGATGCATCCAGTCGCTTGCCTGGCTGTTCCAAGCAGCGTCGCCTCAGGTCTTCCAACGATCGGGCCAGGGACGCGTTTCTGGAGTGTGTGTCCTACCTACAAACCCTCCTACCTACCCGACGGGTCCTGAGGGAAACGGGTCCTGGACACCAGGGTTTTCCCCAAGGAGCAGCGATTCACCCTGGGCAGCTTTGTGAACGGCCCCGGCAACGGCCGGCCGTAAACCCAGGAGGAGGAGTTCGCCAGGAGGAGGAGGTAAACCACCTAATTATAACACGGACCCAGAGTTCGCCACCGGCAGAAGACTTCCAGGGCCCTGCTCTTCGGGACCCGCCTGCCTCCTGGCGACGTCGCCTTGCCCCCCGCTCCAGGCCCGGCACAGGGGGGCAGGAGCGCAGCACTGCGGCGGCGCGGGCGGAGGGAGGCGGGAGCCGGGCCGCCTGCAGCAGGGGTGCGGCGGATGGGCTCGGCCTCGTCCTGGGCAGGCAAGGGGGGGCGGGCGTGGCCACCGCTCGCCCCCGCGGGCCGGCACGGTCGGGACGGGTGCGGAAAGAGCGGTGGCGAGGACCGCCAGCAGCCTCTGCCCATGCCGAGCAGGATTCGCTGGCGATGTCGCCGCGGGCGTTGGCCGCTTGAGGCCAGAAGTCGCCTGCCCGAGGTGGCCGCTGTCTGTTTGGGACAGCATTCGCTGTCGAGCATCGCACACACTTCTCCCTTACCCATGTCAGGTGTCCAGAGCGGCTTGGCAATTCCGCAAGCCACGCGTCCACCGTACCTTCTCCACAGTACAGTGGGCACGCGAAGTAAGAGATTGGCGTGCCGGCGGGTGCTCCACGAGAAGTCTGATATTTCCCCCAGGGAGGCCCAGACACCGCTGGGGCGCCATACAAAGGCCGATTTCGACGAAGGGCGGGCCTCTACACCTCTCACAGCAAGACATCTTATCACGTGCGCCTTCTGTACAACCAGTCCCTCGATCGCGCACTGTTGGATTTTGCTGCCAGCCTTCCCTCCGACCCCGAGAGGCGTGCCCCGAGCAGTGGGCCAGGGGAAACGTAAGAGTCGAGTTCGCCGGCTCTCGGGCTTGCCGACGCCTTGTGACGAGGCCGTTCTGGGTTTCGACAGTCCATGTTCGTCATCTGTTTGCAGCGGGAGGTCGCGTCAAATTTTGGGCTGGGTCTCGTCATTTTCCTCACGGCCGCGTCAGACCAACCCGAGTCCCCCGAAACCAAGTCTTACGTTTCCCCCACAGTATTGAAACAAAGAGGGGGCAGCACCAGTCAACCGAAGAAAGATGAGCCCAGGCAGTCTCCCAGAAACGACCCACCTGGGTTCTCTTGGGGGCGTCTTGGAGCCGCCTGGTGGCTGCCGTTGAGCCGTTGGGGAGGCGTTGGAGCCTTAGTTGGGAGCCCGAGGATGGTCGCTTATTGGGGTCTTCCTGGGGCGATTCGGACGTTCTCACAAACTCTGGGCAGGAGGTTACCGCTGTCCCAGGAAGTTGAAGTATAAGCCCCGTGTGTGGGCTCCGACTCCCATGGGACAGACGACCTCTTTCTGCGCGCGCGGACACCGTATAGTTTCACCCCCATGTGCGGATCAGAAGAGCCCGCTTCAGTCCACCCCCCTGTCCATTGGAGAATTGTTTATCGGTTGCGGGTGTTTCAGGCAGCCAGGTTTCGAAGAGACCTTCAAATAATTATTGGACCCGCTGTGACTTCTGACCGCCCCGACTCACAACGCGAGAATCGATTCGACAGGGCGCTTCAAGAAAAAGATTATGCATCGGACTGGGAGCACTCTCGGCATGCGAGTGCAGACACACAGAGCAATGCTGTATTTGGTCGCAATGACAGCGGGGGAAGGACTTGAAGAGCTGGCTGCAGAATCTCGATCAGGATCAAAGCCCAGCCCGCTTGACCGGAGGGGACCCGGGGGATTGCGAGCATGATTGAATACAATGTCTTTTGTGTCAGTTGCGATGTGTTCTCGCAAATTGGTCGGCCTGCGCATCGCCAGTTTGCAAGCCTTCTGGCGCTATGGCCCTATCGCCGTAATTCTGGAAACGGCATGACCCATTCGGGATACATATGTGGCATCGGAGCACCTCAGCGAGGACGGAGCGATTCATGAGTTTTGAAACAACGAAAGGCGGCCATTCTACCAAGGAGCTCAGCCTCTTGGAGAAAGCACGTGTCGCAATCTTTTTCTCAGGAGCTCATATGTCGTGTGTGTTGAACGTTGGCGTTGCCACCGAATGTGCTTGGGATCTTGTGGCTTCGTTCATAATCGGATTTCTGCCTGTTTTGGCCGTGCGTTGAGGTTGCCGCCATCGAATCACATAAAGATTTGCAGAGCGGCAGAATTTTCGCCCATGAAACGCTTGAGATCGGGAAACTCAAGCTCCATAGTCTAGTGCAAGTTGCACGGGCAAACTAGCATTTCCTCGGGAAATGTGTGGACCTTTTCCAGATTATACATGCGTGTACATATGTACATAAGTAGATATATATATACATATATATAGACAGCGAGAGAGCACAAACACACACACACACACGCAGTCGTCTCTCGCTCTCTCTCTCTCTCGCTCTCTTTCTGTCTCTCTTCCTCTCTCTCTCTCTCTCTCTCTCTCTCTTTTTATATATATATATATATATATATATATATATATATGTGTTTCTCTCGCGCTCTCTTTCTCTCTTTCTCTCTCTCTGTCCCTCTCTCCCTCTCTCTCTATATCTATATATTGTGGAAGATAGATGTATATATATACACACACACACACTTCTACTGAAATATGTGGGAGGTCGTACCGGAGGTGGGAGGTCATACCGGAGGTGGGCCCCCCCTGGAGATGCAAGGGTGGGGGGTTCGAACCCAGGGAGGGCCCCCCCCTTCAACGGGGGAGGG